CTGAATGCTGTGGCTTGGATAAATATTCCCCAAAGGCCCATGAGTTAAAGGTTTAGTTCCCAGCTTGTTATTAGAAGACGTTAAAGAGATAGTGCCCTGTGAGTGAAAGTTATGTCATGGGAGGTGTGCCCTTGAAGGGCATATTGGGGACCTTACCCCTTCCTCTTTTTCTCCTCTTGGCTGCTATAAAGTAAACAGTCTTCTCTGCAGTGCATTCCCACCGTGATATTGTGTGCCACCACAGTTCCATCACAGTGGTGCCAGTCGACTTTGAACTGACACCTCCAAAACTGTGAGCCAAAATAAACCTTTCCTTTAAAGTTGATTATTTCAGGTATTTTGTTATAGTAATGTAAAACTACTCCCCCCAACACACAATTTTAAGAAATGTATGTGACATGGTATATCAGAAAGGAGAGTTGAAATTACAAATTATTGTGTCCAGCTCATTGCTGGTTACAAGTATTTTTGAGTTGTACTAGCTAAAGAATCAAAAATAACAGCATTTTGGCATTAGACCTTGATAGGGGCTAAGGCCTGTAAAGAAAGTAGGAAAATTCCAGGAAGAAATCGCTTGAATTACTTTTGGCAGATATAGTAACTATTGGAATTTTTATTTTAAGAACTACCATGTTGAAAGCATCTTGCTCCACCTGTGTCAGTTGGTGGGAATGCTGTTTTTCCCATTCAAAGACAGTATTTGAATTAACAGCAACATCAGATATCAATGGAAAAATTGATAATTTTGGAAACCTTTATTAACTTTTTGACCAATTGGCTTAAGCCTCTTCTGTTGTACCCTATAAATATTGAATAATTAGACTATGGGAAGGTAACATCAGTACCTTTTTAATTAATTATATAGACATAGTGAGTTTCTTCAGGAAGAAATTTTTGACCTACACATACATTTTGAACCATATTTGTCAAATTCTTTTAGAAATTTCATGGAATTTTCTTTTTCTGTTTGTTTTCACTCACCCTTTGGTCTAGTTGTTCACTGTGTGCATGTTTAAAATCAGTTTCCATAGTGACATCTGGTGGTGGTTTTGAAATCCCAGGGAATATGATTGGAATGATAAATATTTTTACTTAATAGCTACACATTTCCGGCTTCTTTCAAATTTTTCAGCTACTTAACAACTTTTTAAAAAATGCCTTCATTGTATTCTTAGGTTAGAAAGTCAGGCATTTATTTTTTTCTGTAATGCTTCATTGAAGTAAAGGGTAATACTACTAGGTGGTACACATAGCAAGCATGTCTCAACTTGTCTCCTGTGCTCAAAATATACATCTTTACCATATTGCCCTGCTTTTGTATTATAATCTTCTAATAGGAAAGGTGTTTGATGTCCTTCTCCCTGGCTTTGGTCCTCTTTGCATCTGGTTGGAAAGATTTCTGTGAAAAGCCTCGGCTTTCCATTTCTGTCTTTTGACAGCTGGGCCTTACTGTCCTCTAGTTGTATACCATATTGCTATCTCAGAGAGTAAAAGAGGAATTAGAGAAGATGAGCAGAGCTGGCTGAGAAGGAAGGAAGCTGAAAGAGGGAGAGAGGTTTGAAGGTAGGAGGGAAAAGAGTTTATAGGTGGATGTTTACATATACCCAAATATGAAATACCATTTTGAGTATTGTTCAGGAAAAACATCTGTATTTCTTGTTGATTTCTTTTTTTTTTTTTACAGGAAAAGTGAATTTATAACCCAGTATACAAAAACATAATTATTGAAAGCTAATTGGCAATTATGGATTAAGAGAAGTAGGAGATGAGATAGAGTCTTGAAAATGAAGGCAGCAGTTTGTTTCACATCCAGTGATGATTAAAAGGCTTTAGTTTTATTTTTGTTTTTCTCTTTGTTAATTGTACTAATTAGAATTTTTCACCATGGAAACTTCAAATTGTTTCTTTTTATTGAATTAAGGTAATTGTTAAAGTTAGAAGAAATCCATCTCTAATCTATAAATGCTAGTTGCATCTTTAGGAAGGTTTGGTAAAAGGAGAATGATAAAATGTAGGAATAGCAACTTACAGTGACTTAAAGAATAAACATTGCTTTTAGTTAAGACTCTAGATGGCGGCCTTCAGGACTCCTCGGGACTCCTGTAAAGAAGGGTTTAGATTCTGATGAACCCTTGACGAATGAGGTACATCCATCTGGATTCTAAACTCTGCAGAGTCCAGGAATTCATGAAATAGAAACATTGGGCAATGTACTCATTAATATTTATATTTTAGTTGCTAGTTAGTACAGTCCTAGTTTTCTCCCATATTTGAATAGAATCACCTCGTTTTTCCTTTTAAAAACTTCAGTAATATCTAGAAATTATTTGAGACTCTTGAGAATCAACCTGAGTATGGCCAGGGGATCATACAAAAAAGTATGGGTGCTCCCCCAGTTGCCCAATTGATAGGGAGAGGCACTTTCCTTGTCATCTTTTATCTGGACACTTACAGATCTGACTAAAAGCAGAATGAAAGGAGAAATAAGTAGCTGTTTTATCTATAATTATGAACCCCATAATATATTTGCATTTAGGATTTTGTTCTTCCCCTCACCTGAGACTAGAGAAAACTCTTGTATATGAATGAGCATATTTATCTGAATGCTAAAATAGGAAGGTTGCCTTGTCTTTTCAGAGTTATCATATTAAGTTTTGTTTACTCCACTTTTGTCCTATTAAGAATAGCACTGTCAGGGAATTTTGCTGGCACCCAAATCCAGAGATTTGTGGTATCTAAATTTGAACTTTGCCACTTGTTGTGACGCAGGGAAGTTCCTCATCTCTTGAGTTTTTCTTAAGTGGAATGGGGTTAATAGCACCACTATGTAGGCAGGTTGGAAATAAAGATTAAATAAGACAATACTTGTAAAACACTTAGAGTACCTGGCATATAGTGAACATTGAGAAAATTGTTTCTGTGGTTATTATATTTTTAAATGCCCATAATCACTTTTACACATACACACTTTTTAAAAGTGCAAAACATCATCAAGTATTTGAGGATTATGACTAAAAGTTGGTGAAGAAAATCACCATGTATTTGTCTGCTTGACATTTGCTAGTGATCACTAGTCAAATGACTTTAACAGAGTTTTTAGGGGAGTAGCAGAACAGGAGGAGCATGTGCGCATTCATTCTGTTTTCCTTGAAGAAAGCATCCCAGAGCCCCAACTTCCTTTGGAATGAACACGATGAATAAGAGAAACTAGCAAATTATTTTCTCAGACCATAAACATAATTTTAGTAATTTCGTGAATGAGTTGAGCATGCATAGATGATGTTTGGTACTGAGTTAAAGAGAAAACATATCTGAGCTTCTCTTTGTTTGCCACCTAAAGAGATGAGCTCCTTTTTCTTTAGTTCTGAGGCGTTGTTCCATATTTCTAGAAGTATTATATTGTTTTAAAGGATTCATTGAAGGCAGTAGTAAATAATTATAGTGCTTCAGAATGGCTGTAAACACTCATCTTAGGATAGTTCAGTTTCTAGCATTTAATATAAGTGATTTTTTTCTGATATTAACAATCTTAATAAGCAAATGCTTAAATTTAAATAAAATAAATGAAACATGTTGACTATAGTTAATAACAGTGTATTGTATTGAATATTGCTAAAAGAGTAGGTACGAGTGTTCTCACCATGAGAAATGATAACTGTATGGAGTAATACATATGCTTGATTGAGCCATTCTATAATGTATACATATTTCAAAACATGTTGTACCCAATAAGTATACATAATTTTTGTCAATTAAAAAAACAAAATTATAGATTTTTGGTTGAGTTAAATCCTGTTTTAATATCTGTTATTTTTCTTACATTATTTTGCATGGGATAGAAAAGGTCAGTGATCTCCAAGGATTTCTGAAGTTCAACTTGGTCTGAGATACTGAGCACTTTAAGTATCATTAGTTCAGAATGATCAGTCTGTGAGAAAAAATGTGGTATATTTGGGGAGCCAAAGGGCAAGATTACACCTTTTCAGCCTTCCCCCTTTTAATCATATTGTCAGGAGGCAATTGTGGGATTAAGTAAGGTGTTCATAGGTCTCCATGGCTGGGCCAAAATGATACAGATACTCTAACCCTCTTAGTAGTAATCGCACGACTCCATCTCTTACTAGTTGACTAAAAAAAAAAAAATGAGCTTGGGTCTCAATTGAGGACTTTTTGTATCAACCCAGTTAAGATATTTATGCATTGTGTTTATTCACTTTAGAAGTTGTTGTGCTTTTTTGTACAAGGTGCTAGAAATACTAGTATTTGAGAAGGTTGACCCTTCTGCAATTTCTAGCATTAGCTAGAGAATTTATATTTTTATATCACACTAGTTCTTGGTAATTTAAAGAAATGGAAGAATTTGAGGACACAAGAGACAGTTTATTCTCTTTTCTTAACTACTTAATAGGGGTGTGTAAGTCAGATAAAGATGTCTAGAGGAGTGTGCTCCCAATCTTTTTCCATAGACTGGCAATGATCAGGTGAATACAGATTAGGGAGCAGGGCATAGTAGGCTGTGGGACTTGGATCTGAGCCATAGCTCTGGTTTTATCCTGATTTCTTGATTAACCTCTAGGAAAGTCAATGCATCTCAAATAATCATAACTCTCATCTTTGGCAAAACAAAATACTGGCCTTTAGATGATCTCTTAGTGCGCATTTCATGAGGTTGTTTAGAGACTTAGATAATACTTTTTAAACTGCTCCATGTGGTGAGTGATACCTGATTCTAATAATAACATAGTTTTCTGTTGCACATTATGTAACACACATTGTTTAATCATTTCATATGTATAGTTCACTTAATCAGCCTATTAGGAATGTGCTGTTATCTCCATTCAATAGGAAAGGAAATTGAAGCACAGAGATGAAATAACTTGCTTAAGGTTGTGCAACTAAGAAGGACATGTAATAAATCGTTTGTAGGTTGACACTTTCCCAAAGTGGCATTTTTTGTTGTTCTTGGCATGACACCTCACATTTTTCTTCTTTTTCTGTAGGTGTCATAGAGACTTCAGATCGACTGGACCGTGAATCGACCTCCCATTACTGGCTAACAGTCTATGCAACTGATCAGGGTGTAGTGCCTCTTTCATCATTTATAGAGATCTACATAGAGGTTGAGGATGTCAACGATAATGCACCACAGACATCAGAGCCTGTCTATTATCCAGAGATAATGGAAAATTCTCCCAAGGATATACCCGTGGTCCAAATTGAGGCATTTGATCCAGATTCTAGCTCTGATGACAAGCTCACATACAAAATTACAAGTGGAAATCCACAAGGATTCTTTTCAATACATCCTAAAACAGGTATGTGTTAATACTGTTACGTGACATGTTTATGTGTACTCTCTCTTCGTGTTGAGGAAATTAAGAATTAACATTTATCTGTTGCACACTTTTCTTTGGTTTTGGTAAATCATTCTCTTTCAGATTATTCAAGACAAACCTTTATTATCAGCTAAAATTATTTCCAGATGTCTTTTTTTTTTTAAACTTTGGAGTTTTATAAAGCTATTTTATGATATTTCTTAATAACAGACTTGACTTTGAGGCTAAAAAACAAATATTTTTATCTCAGTAGTAGTTCCTGAATGAGTGTTGTAATTTTACAGCACATTATGTTACTGAGTATTTGAATTTTCTTTAATATTTTTTTAGTTGTTGATAGACTTGTTTTATTTATTTATATGCGGTGCTCAGAATCGAACCCAGTACCTCACACATGCTAGGCAAGTGCGCTACTGCTGAGCTGCAGCCCCAGCTCCTTGAATTTTCATAATTCCCCTTTTTGTAAAGAATATTGGAAGAATTTATTTCAAAACTCATTAGTTTTAAAATATTGTTTTAAATTTTTCCTGTGGAGTAGTACCTTTAACTCTTTAGGCAGAAGGGGGTTAGGATTAAGCGGTTTTCAGATCGCAAATGGTTACTTCCTTGAAGAATTCCCTCTGACCTTTAACTCATAACTCTTCTCTTCAATGTCTGTGACCTCCTGCTTAAGGGGATAGTTCTATGACCCCCAAGTACTCTTCCCAAATCCTTGTGAACTACAATCTTTGCTCTTTTACATTTGACAATGTATTTTGCTTTTTTTTTTTTTCTTAGTTCTTAGGTCTCTTTTGTATTATTTCATAAGACATTCAAGGTGGTTATCATTTGGGTGGTAAAAACCTTAAGTTTTCATTTTTTGGATGAAAACTTCATATGTGAGGGTAGAACATTTTGATTTATTGATCATTTAAAATAACTATTATATGATATTTAGAGGATAGTTTATTTGGAGAAAAATAAATTATTGGCCTTGATGGAGATGTTGTATTGTTAGTACTTGCTGGTAACATTTAATAAACAGAAAAACTTTGAAGAGCAAGATTTATATACCTCTAGCTTGCCTTTGTTTATCCTATCTTATATTACTCTAGGGTAATTGGCCTGTCCAGTTACTGGATTGTGTATTTGGAATGTCAGGGAAATAATACACAAACATCAAAATTAAGGAAGTAGCATCCTTCTGTTCCTTGCCTGTCTCCATTATCCACCTCCCCCTCTTTAGTTTCATTCTTATTTCTTATTTTCTTTTCAACTTAAAAGGAATCAATTCTTAAGGTGGAAAGAAGGCCAAGTTTAAGACCTCTGTAGCAAATGCTAGTTGAAAGATCCTGATAGAGATCGTCTATGTATATAGTATTTTGTCTCTTGAAAAGTATGTTAAAATGTTAGTTTGTAAACTTGTCAGCATATTTCAATCTGATATTTGTAAACGCTTTTTTATTATTAAAAGTAAACATAAGTTTCAGAACTATTTAAAAGTATTATATATGTTTTGCTTTGGAGCAATTATCTTCTAGCCCTTTGGGCAGATTCTAGTATGTTCCTTTAACAGAGTTTGGATTCTTAGAAAATGATAATTGATGATTAAGCCTCTTTGAGCCTTATTAGAATTTAATTATATAAAAGTGAAATTTTCAGGATCTGAAGAGTTTTTCTATAGGGAAGCATTGGGAGTAGAGTCAGGACCATAAGCCCAAGAAAAAAGGCTGGAATTAAGACTAGAACCTGCCAGGCTTGAAACAGCCCTTGTAAATGATTAATAAAAGGCTTGTTTTAGCAGTGTGGTTGTATGTTTTTACTGCACAGACAGTAACTAAGTTCATTCTCCTTTTTTTTTTTTTTTTGGTGAAAAAGATCTAAGAACTAAGAGCTAAAATTTTAGAAGGCCTTGTTAGAAAAAAGAAGAAAGAAGTTTAGAAGACTTTTGGAGGAGGAATTCAGGGTCCAGAAAGTATGCCTGGAAGGAGGTGGTGGTTACAGCATTGAGAGGGAGAATCTAGAAATAAAAGCCTTTGAAATGATAATTCAGGAATGTGTAACCATCCCTATTTTAAAATTATTTGATGAATTCAACTTACAAAAATATTTCCAAATTTTTATGTCTTCTGTCTCTCTTTTTTAGATTAAGTCTTCTTCAAAAAGACAAGGGAGCAAGGACTAAATGTCCTTTTGATTATTTGAGCAAATACTATAGGTTGGGGTATCATTTATATCAGGAGAAGGAGAAGAAAGAAACTTAAGGGAATTGTATAGATTACAGTTATTGTGGGGAGCCTTGAAACTTGGGTTATTTATCCGCCTGGCCTCTGAAATAATATCACTACTGTAGTGTTATGTCTTGTTGTAGAACCCTGACTGATATGGCATTGCTACTCCTGTTAAGGCTCTCCTCTGACAATTCTTCAGAGGTCTGTGGAGACTTTTGCACTCTTCCGTATCTTCAGCAAGAATAACCTCTGAGAATTCAAACCATCTCTTACCCACTGGGTGGGAAGTACATGGATCCTGCTGGCAGGATAGCAGGAGAAAATTCATCTACATATACTGAGAGGTTTTATATTTTTATGACTTGAAGGCAGATATTAGTGGAGAATATAGTTAGTACACAGAAATATTTGTTATGAAGTATTTTGTAAATGATGTGTTTAGTAAAGAAGTCTAATCTTTGCACAAATCACCTAGTCTCTAAAGATCAAAAAAAAAAATACCCATATTTTAGCATGGGCATTATTAGAAAATACAGTACATACGGCTTCAGGAGATCTGTTTTAAAATGATCTGTTCCCCCAACTCAGCAGAAAATTTAAGCAGATTCTTAGGGTCCAAAGCCTTGATGGCTCATCTTCCTCAAAACCTTTAAAGCTGACAATTTTAGTAGATTATTTTTAGTAGAGGAGTAAAATGGGCTAGTTTGTGGAAAGTGATGAAAGACAGACTGGTAGAAGTCCGTTGTGATTTACTGACCCAAACCCAACCTGGAGACCTGTAGTCATGTTACTTAATAATTAATGCCTGAGTGAGAAAATCACTGGGCTGGAAATCCAGAGATCTGGGCCACAGTAAAAGACTTGTCTTCTGGTATCTTGGGAAAATGGACTTCAGGTCCTTAGATATTGTGATTAGTGATAAGTATTCCGTGTTTCTGTGTGCAGAGTACTTTCTGTGTGCAGAGTCATTTTTAGAAAAACTGCCATAGCCGCTGGGCATGGTGTCACATGCCTGTAATCCCAGTGACTTTTGAGCCTGAGGCAAGAAAATTGCAGGTTCCATCTCAAGTTCAATCATAAGTTCCTGTCTCAAAATTAAGAAAAGAAAGGACTGGGACTGAGGATGTAGCTCAGTGGTAAGATATCCCTGAGTTCAATCTCTGGTACCAAAAAAATAAAAAAGAAAAGAAGAGGTGCTACACCTCTTCCTCTTATTTCTGTTACRGTTATTCTATCAAGATTTTGGTTGGATTTATGCATTTCCCTTAGATAAACAAGCTTGATAGAAKAGGTAAACTTGCTTCTTGGTAGTAAAGATGAATTTGGGACCCCTGTGATTATCAAATGACCAGCAGACTAGAGAGAACTAAATCATCATCAGGTGTTTACTGAGCTTTGTCTTTGAATATAGCACCTTGAAAGGTGTTTTGGAAGAATGTGATCTACCAAAGTCCAAGTAGCACAGTAAATAGTGGGTACAAGATACTGTGCATGGGCAAACTCACTGATGTGTTGGGAGTAATTAGGAAAACAAGTCCCCTTGGAAATGCTTTTGGGCTGATTTTAAAAGTGGTGAAAGTAGATTGATGGAGACGAGGTAGAGGATGTTTCTCCTGTTGGTGACAATGTGAAGGAGGGTGATGAAAACCGAAAGATGTGGCTACACTTGAATGCCAGAATAAGGTTCTACAGCTGTGTGTTACTTTTTATAAATAGTCACTTATTTTTGAGAGTCTGCCAGCAGTCCTTAGAACATTTTGTGTAAATTTAATTACCTTGGTGAAAGTCATTTTGGGAAAAAGGAGAAAAATCTCCCCAACACCTTTTTTACTTTTATTACATATGCTCAAATGTTTTAAAAAAYAAAACAGATAACCTTCTTAAATTTTGCTTCAATGATTTTCTGAATTTTAGGCCTCAAGTGACAAGTCTGAATGGATTTTTTTAAATGCTTTTTTTTTTAATCTTTGACTCAGAGTTTTTGTGCTTAATTATGGTGCCAGGAGCTGTCTTTCCACATCTCATGTACTTCTACTGTTTACAAGTAGGGTGGTGATGGTTTTTTTTCCCCAGGGTACACAGGAAAGACTTAATCCAGTCTCCTTTTCTGATACATACCTTTTTGTTAACAACATAAATTTTTATGACTTTTTTTGTTGGTTTGTTTGGTTATGCTCAATATCAGTTAGGGAAAATTTGCTTCTTTTACTGTAAATTGTGCTTTTGCTCAAGGTAAGAGAGAGACAAGAGCATAGAGAGTTATATTGTTTGGGTCTTCACAGCCCCAGCTTTTGCAAGCAAAAGCGTCACAGCCTTGCRGTATGTCAAGGACACAGAGAATAAAGGAAGCCCAGAACAGAAAGGACTMGTGTAAACTTTACAGACTTCATTTTGTGCAAGTAACCTCAGGACACTGACACCTCCCCACAAAATGCCCTTTTAGTTAAAGTTATCAATTTGAACTTTGAGGAGCGATAAGCAACTTGTAATTGGCAGATAATTTTGAAGGTTACTGTTAGGCACATGCATTCTTTAGAAGAGATSACAGTCTTATTCTCATGTTTTTGTGCTTGGTATTTTCCAGGTTTTTGATACAAAGCAAATAATAGTCTTTATATTTTAAAAGATTATTTGAAAAATAGTTGACGGTCAATTGCATATATTTAATGTTTGTTTTGACRTATCTGTRCACATGGAAAACCATCACCACAATMCAGCAGTGAACTTATCCATCACTCCCACAAGTTTTCCAAGCTTCTGRCTTACCCA